TTAGATGTTGATTGACTGATTTATTAAATGAGCGATTGGTAGATTATTTTATTGATTGATTGATAGGCCAATTGGTTTATTATTTGATTGATTGATTGTCCAACCTGCCAACAGACTGACCCGCTGTCTGAAAATTGCATCAACCTACTGTCTGATTAGTTGTTTAATCATTTGTTTGATTGATTGATTTCTTATTTCATTGGTTAATTGATTAGGGCTCCAAATGACAAGAAACCAGTGCTAACTATCAGTGGAGAATGGAATGGTGTCATGTATGCCAAATATGCTGATAAGGAGGTGAGTGGAACGAATGCAATAGATAGTTTTTTTTTGTTATCGGATGGAATTGATGAATTAGTTGTTTACTGTAGGTACATATTGATAGAAGTTGTTGAACATAACACACAGAGAGAAAACTAACACARCCAAACACGACCGAATCTGGAGCAGAACTGGTTTACTTGCGTAAAGCGYGCGTTACAAACGTKCGCGCCCAAATAATTTGCCAAATATGGATTACATTGTAACATAAATTATTCACATTGAACCACATTCAGAAACAATCCTGTTGCTCTCATTATTATTGAAATCATATTTTATCTCATTATTGAAATCATATTTTATGATTTTTTCAACAGGAAGAGGAAGTGTTTATTGATGCTACAAATTTCCCAACTCACAGGAAATACGTCAAGACTATAGAGAAACAAGGAGAATTTGAATCCAAAAGGTACTAGTGACTCTGTCAAGTTTGCTTTCACTTGTGCTTGATTAAGTAAAATTATCTCAGCACCCAGTTTTTCATTCGTTCACGACCCCCTCCCTTTTCGTTTTCTCCCTTCCCCTCTACCCCCAGAGCCGCTACGGAGGCTAGCACTAAAAAAAAGTATAAGTGAAAGTAAAAAAAGTAAAAGTATTCATAACTCGTGCGTCAAATGTGTAAGACCAAATTRATGCGATTGTTGCAATAATAATTGTTATCATCAGACTATGGAAAGATGTAACAGTAAATTTGAAGAAAAATGATGTTGATAAAGCTACTGAAGGCAAACACAAGGTAACCGCAAATTAAACAATATTTGTATATTACACGCTCTTGGATTGGTTGAGAATCTTGTCTTATAAGTACACTGCACACATGGATAACGGCATTCAATCTTACGTGCGCTTTGATTGGTCAGAACCAGTGCGTGCGATCTGTTGTATCCTTTTAACCGTTTCAATGAAATTATTCGCTCCAGAAAAAGAAATAGAGGAAAATATCATATTATAACTGTAAATCTAAATAGATGCATAGATGACGTCGAATTGTGATGAGATCAACAGTGCTTAGTTTGAATTATAAATGTACTGTCTGATGTGAACTTGGATTGATTTTTTTTAAGCTTGAAGAAAGACAAAGAGCAGAAGCTMGAGAAAGAAAAGAACTGGGTACAAAATGGGAGACGAAGGTACGTACATTGTGAATCTATTGAATCAATTGAATTTCCCAATGGTTCTTAAAACATTCATTCGTGTGAAAATACTTTATGACTTTGTCGTCTTCATGAAAGGTTGTTCTGTAACGACTTATAGAAAAAAACGTAGTCGGGTTCCAAAAGTTTACAGCAGCGAAGATAAGACCGAAAGGTAGCATGGGAAATCAAATATTATGAGTAAAACAGAGTTTTAGTGTCCAAAGATTGCCTGCACTGAATAAAATGACCTTCTCTTCGAGTAATATTGATAATATGACGTGTTTAGGTGAATATTATTTGATTTTCTGAGTACTTAAAATCCCCTTCTGTGTTAGCTTCAAAGATATCGCGTTTTTGCTTAAAAATTGGAGCTTTGGAACCGGAAGTATTTAAATTGCTGTGTTATTACTTAACATGAGCAATTACATGCACATAATGATTGATATAGAGTGCAAGTCACATAAGCATGAAACAATTCTTAACTATGTAGTGCTAAATAAGATTTAGTTATCAACTAACTAAGAATTGAGAACAATGCTACAAAGAAATTTAAATAATTGGCATTGTGTTTATGCTTTGTTGAATTCTTAGTTAGTTGATAACTAAATCTTATTTAGCAATACATATTAAGAATTGTTTCATGCTTGTGTGACGTGCACTCTATTTCAGGGTTTTTCCCACTACACCAGACTTACTCATATATTATTTTKATATCTTTTTTCGACAACAGTTATTCCACGAGGAGGGAGGACATTGGTTATACGACAGATCTTTACAAAAAACACCAAACACCACAGAATAGGAAAACACCAAGATTGGATAAAAAGTATATTTTGATGARACAATAATACCCAGTTAAAAAAACATTATGATAGCAAATTTTATGTAAGATCCACARTTGAAATTATMAAATTAAAGGCCTGTGTGCRSCCAAGAGCCTTTGYAATCATTTCTTTTGTTTTACAAACAATCTCTGTTGAAAGTAGACTGATTACGTCRTAGTTTTCGCTCTTTAAGGAGACCGAATTAGAYGGCACAACTTTTGCCTACAACCATCACATGCAAYCTGCGTAAGTCATCCTTGCAACATGGCTGCAACATTGCAGCAATCCCTACAACAGTTGTTACCATGTTGTAAAACAATGATTGTAGGGTGCTGCCGTCTAATACTCCAGTTTCGAATTCATAGCGAAAAACTGCTGCTTTATTTGACAACAGATTCTCTTGCGCAAAAACCTGACTAAACACAAAAGAGAGCACGAGAAAATGTCGTTATTACAATAGACTTGAAAATTTGCATGTTCCCCAAGTTGAGACTAACCCTGTATTCCCTTAAGACCTAAGGTATGAGCCTTCTGGGAATACAGGGTTAGCCTCAACTCGGGTAAAATGTAAATTGTTAGCGCTATTGTACTTACAACATTTTCTCGTGCTTTCTTTTGTGTTTGGTAAGTTCTTTGCGTAATAGAATCTGCTGTCAAATAAAACAGCGGTTATTCGCTTTGAATTCGAAAATGGAGYATTCGGCCTTGAGATTTTCAGCAGTGAGTGACAAAACAATCTGGGACCTGCGATCGTCGACTTATGGAATTAGTCTGTGAAAGGAGCTGTTTGATTGGTTAAAATTCAAAGATGGCGAATTTTGGTTAAAATTCAAAGATGGCGAAGTTTGGTGCATGAGAAAAGCGCGCAAAGGTTCTTGGGTGCATGTGGGTCTTAAAGAAAATTAACCAGAATAAACAAGAATCAATAGGTCAGTTTACACTATGGTATCTTATACTACAATCACCAGAATGCTTTGCACACTTTCTTTTATGATGTAATTAGTTCTTGTTGTTTTGCTGATATGTGAATAAGAAAGCACAGTATTCCAGTAGTGAAATGATATCATAATGCATTAATGTCCTATCAAATTAAAACAATCTGTGAAACATTAAATCCAAACCGAATTGAAATAAARYCTCAATTGTTAACGGTTGTCTCTCTCACTAGCGTAGAGGGTGGGGGAGTGGGGCGGAGAGCTATCATTTCAAAAGAACAGATAGTAGAAGT